CTTAAGTGACTACGCCTTGTGGTCATTTGTCACGCAGCAATAGATAGCCAGCATGGATTCCGGTACCGAGAATGGGCCGCTGCTGTAACAAATAACCTAAAACTGTGGGAGTGGCTTCGGAACCAAGCGGTGGTTGGGGCGTGGGTAGAGTTTGAGGAACGGGATGGAAAAAGGCCTCAATTGCCTGAAATGGATAATGAGTAGAAACCTGGGCTTGGAGGATGTACGGATGTGAGGATGTGAGGAACGTGTTCTTCGAACCTGGAGGAAGACGTGTCCTCGTTAGGTAGCGAAGGAAACTTAGGGACACTGTCCTTGACAGTTAGGTGGAAAGCGGGACATGTGACTGATGCACCAGGAGAGGTAGCAAGGGAGATTTCCAAGCAAAGGCACGGAAGGTGCCTCCCGGTTTCTTCCTGTTGCTTCCAGTGAAGTATCACAGGGGGAAGAAACACTGAAGGAACCACCGTTAAACACAAAAGAGGCAGAACTTGATGGTTTTGCAAAACCTCATCCTCTTCAGGTGCCAAAATTCAGACGACACCTGGGTGGCTCAGCCGGTGAAGCGTCCGACTTCGGCTCAGGTCACGACCTCGCGGTGCGTGGGTTCGAGCCCACGCGTCAGGCTCTGTGCGGACAGCTCGGAGCCCGGAGCCCGTTTCGGATTCTGGGTCTCCCTCTCTGTCTGCCCCTCCCCCACTCGCACTCGGTCTCTCTCTGTCTCAAAAATAAATAAACATTAAAAAGAAAAAATTTTTTTAAAGAAGGCATGTATATTATTGGGGCCTGGAGGGGCCACTGAGGTAGGCAGTCCACATGGCTCCGGGGGACCCTGTCCCTGGGTATTCACACTCTTGTATAATCCCTCCCCTGGCACGTGGGCTGGGCCTGTTGACCCGCTTCTAACCAATAGAATAGTGGATGGGATGCCACTCGGAGAGTGAACGTAGAAGATTGGGACTCCGTCTTGTCCACACTCCGTCAGGCTCTTGGCTCGCTCACTCTGACAGAAGCAGCGGCCATGTTGTGAGCTAACCTCAGGAGAGGCCCCCCTGGCAAGGATCTGAAGGAGGCCTGTTCAAGAATCCATGAGCAACTGAGCCCTACCATATGAGTAGCTCTGGAAAGGGGTCCTCCTCTAGTTGAACTTTGATTATATACCGTGAATGACCTTGAGAGATGGCCGCCATGGGAGTGCATCTGCATTTCTGACCCAAAGGAGTTGTGAAATAAGAAAAAAAAAAAATGTTCTTGGGGCGCCTGGGTGGCTCAGTCCGTTAAGCATCTGATCTCACAGCTCGTGATGATCAGGTCATGATCTCACAGCTCGTGAGTTCGAGCCCCGCGTCGGGCTCTGTGCTGACGGCTCAGAGCCTGGAGCCTGCTTCGGATTCTGTGTCTCCCTCTCTCTCTGCCCCTCCCCTGCTCGTGCTCTGTCCCTCTCTGTCTCTCAACAATAAATAAATGTTAAAAAAAAAAAAAAGTTTTGTAAAAAAAATGTTCTTAAGCCACTAAGTTTTGGGGTGATTTGTTACACAGCAAGGGATAACTAATACAGCTCATCTGTTACGCACTCTTACATTTAGTAGATTAATCCGTCTTCATAAGGAAGCAGGTGTTCAGAGAAAGTATTAACTCACCCTCTTTCACAGATGGAGACACTGAGGCTCAGAAAAGAAATAGGACCTCAGCCAAGTGGTACCGAACCCAAGCCCGACCTCTTCTGCTTCCTTCGAGTGAGCCATCTGCTCCCGTCCTCACCCCCCCATCCCAGTCCTCCCCCCACCCATGTGCCCACAGCAGTGTCCTATCTGCCCCAGCGACACCCCCAGTCCATAGCAGCCTGGACTGGCTGGAACAGAAGTGTGGACTCACTGCCAGTTTCTGATCTGGAAAGAAAGGTCCCAAGAGACGTCAGTCAAGGAGGACGGAGAAGGAGGTCCGGTTGGGCCCAGGGAACTCTTCCCTCACAAGCAGCCCTGAATAGAGAGAGGGACGGCTAAATCCTGGGTCCCGGGAGACCCCCCGGCCCACCTCACAGGCCCCTGCCTCACCTCTCCGCTCTCTCTCATGTCAGCTGAAGCCCAGGAGCGCAGATCCCCACGGCAGACCCGCTCCTGAAGACCACTGGCTGGGTGCCAGGGGGCCCCCTCCCCCACTGTTCACTGGAGTCGCCATGGTGACTGCTATACATAGGGCTCTGTTACCTCAGAGGGCCTGCACCCCCCACCCCCCTGCACCCCCACCGGGGAACAGAGGCCGGGGGGGGAAGCCGGTACTGAAGGGGAAGGAGGGGCCTTCAAGCATTGCTCTGTCTCCACTCAAAATGTTTCCCGAGCCCCGCACATGTGACACATGGAGGGCTCGGATGCCATCAGGTGGAAAGAAAGTTCTCGGAGCCACAGCGGATTAAGTAGAGCGATCAGTGTTTTCTGGAGAAAGGAATCAGGGCTCTCGGAGGGGCCATCTGAGCTGGCCTCTGAGGGATGTATAGGAGTTTGACAGTTTAGAAGGGACTTGAATACTAAAGGCGTGAATGTGGGGCGCCTGGGTGGCTCCGTCGGTTGAGCGTCCGACTTCAGCTCAGGTCAGGATCTCCGTGAGTTCAAGCCCCGCGCCGGGCTCTGTGCTGACCGCTCCGAACCTGGAGCCTGCCTCGGATTCTGTGTCTCCCTCTCTTTCTCTCTCGGCCCCTCCCCCGCCCATGCTCTGTCTCTCTCTGTCTCTCTCTCAAAAATAAATAATACATATTAGAAAGAGAAAAAAAGAAGAGCGTGACTTTGGTCAAGTTCTTTGGCTGAACTTTCCTCGCGTGTGAAACAGAGACAGCTCACCACCAAGGGCAAGGGTGAAGATTGAGCGAAGTCGCTTTCGGGAAATGGCTGGCGCATTGCCCGCCACAGAGAGACGTCGCCCGTAGCCCGGTGCTAACCTCATAAGCCACTCGTCAGCAAGGCCTTCCAAGTACACCAGACTCGCACGCCCTTGGCCACCTCCACATCTCTCCCCGCCCCAGTCCAGACCTCTTGCCTCCTCCCTCGCCTCCTGGGTTTGCTCTCCTGCCTGTATTTTCTTTTCTTTTTTTATTTAATGTTATTTTTGAGAGAGAGAGACAGGGAGCGCAGGCAGGGGAGGGGCTGAGAGAGAGAGATGCACACAGAATCCGAAGCAGGCTCCAGGCTCTGAGCCTGACCCGGGGCTCGAACTCACGAACGGTGAGATCATGACCTGAGCCGAAGTCGGTGGCTCCACCGACCGAGGCTGCATAACGGTATTACCACAAACTTAGCCGCTTCGCACACATTTATTATGGCAGCTGCTGTGGGTCAGGGCACCTGCCATGGCTTAGCTGGATTCTCTGGTCACTCGAGGCTCCAATCAAGGACCCAAAGCTAGCATGACAAGGACAACAGCATGGAGGGGGGAGGGGTCAGTCCCAGCCCTCTTCCGCGCAGACTCCGTAGGCATCCGGCCTGACCCAGCGTGACACCCCAGTGTCCTCAGCGTTTACCGAGCACCCACCTGCCTCAACGTCAGGCTAGGGGCTGGGGTAGGTCACTGACAGACTCGGTCCCCTGGCCCTCCATGACCCTGTCTTTGCCCAGGAAGGCTGCACAGTGGCAGCAGGGAACCTCCAGGAGGTGAGGCCTAGGCTCATGAGGCTGTGAGGAGAAAACAGACCTCCTGTGGCTTGGTCGGTTAAGTGTCGGACTCTTGATCTCAGCTCAGGTCCTGATCTCAGGGTTGTGAGTTCAAGCCCCATGCTGGGCTCTGCACTGGGTATGAAGCCTACTTGAAAGAAAGAAAGAAAGAAAGAAAGAAAGAAAGAAAGAAAGAAAGAAAGAAAGAAAGAAGGGAGGGAGGGAGGGAGGGAGGGAGGGAAGGAAGGAAGGAAGGAAGGAGGAAACAGCCACCCTGAGGCAGTACCAAGACAGTAAGACAGCTGACACTATGACAGCCCTCCTCACAGCCGGAGTCTGGACATTTAGATAAGGACCTGAGCTTAGGATTCCCGTGTCAAATTCCGCCTTTGCCTTTCCCGGGGCACATATTGAAATAACCACTTAGAGCTGAGCCCGTGAAAAGTGAGGCCCCAACCACCCTGTGAGTTAATGGGAACTCGCTGCCCTGCTCCGTCTCTCCTGCCCACGCAGGACCTGGGACAGAGGACCGCCCTTCCCCTGGCTCATCACCGCCCCCACCCCACCCGTGGCTGGGATCTGGAAGTAATCAATCTCGCGACTTGATTTCCTCTGTGCGGATGCGCTGAAACCGCCTTTAGTCAAAAGGACCACAGGGTTTTCTTTCACTTTTCCAAGAGGGGGCCCAGACGCCAAGGGGGCTACCGGTTGACCTTGTGGGGGTGGCCTGTGCCCCCCCTCGTTCAGCAAGTCTGATTATTCTTTTAATTTTTTAACGTGTGTTTATTAGCGTCAGCAGGGGAGGGGCAGAGAGAGAGGGAGACACAGAATCCGAGGCAGGCTCCAGGCTCCGAGCCGTCCGCACAGAGCCCGACGCGGGACTCGAACTCACGAACCGTGACATCATAACCTGAGCCAAAGTTGGACGCTCAACCCACTGAGCCACCCGGGCGCCCCTGAGCATCGCCTCCTCTGAGAGGCCCCAGGGCCTGTGTTGTGTGACGCCCATTCGATCCCTTCTTTGGAAGGCCAGATGCCCCCTCCACCATTCCTCCCCCCACCCCCCGGAGGGCTGGGGCTACACCGGGAGGGGGAGGGCGCTGGGGCCCGGCTGTCTTTGCTTTCACTTCTCTCCACCTCCTGGGGCCCCTTCCCAGTGGGTCCCCGCGTGCTCCACCAGACATGGGACAACAGGCGACTTCTTCTGCCTGAACTAAATAATAGAGTGGCACCCTCAGGGCGGCCTCCCCAGCTAGGGGCTGCTCGGGAGGTTTCTTGCCCCGACGGGCTCCAGGGAGTCCGGAGGAGACGGGCATAGGGGGCCGGGGTGGAAGCCAGAGAGAGGCAGGCAAACACGGCTCCTCAGAAAAAGCGGTTTATTCCAGTGTCTGGGAGGAAAGGAGAGAGCTTTGCCCGGCAGTTCTCAAACCTGGTCGGTCTCCTTTGCCGACGAGGTACGCGCTGCGTGTCAGACTGCGGTCACCGAACAGACGGGAGCTTCTGGCCACTGAGGAGGCCCACCGCTCAGGCCTTCCCGCGCTGCCACTGGGACACGCGGGTCTCCGGGGGGGCCCGGTGGAACCACTCGAACCAGGAGCCGTCGTAGACAGCCACGTCGGGCTTGCCGCAGAGGTAGGCGGCCAGGGCAATGTGGCAGGCGGTGACTCCCTTCCGGCAGGTGGCAATGAGGGGCTGGGCCAGATTCACCTTCTTGGCCTCGAACAGAGCACGCAGCTCCTCTGGGCTCTTCTCGAAGCCGTCCTCGGTCAAGAAGTCCACGAACGGCATGTTGACTGAGCCTCGGATGTGGCCCGGATCCAGTCCTGGGCGCAGCAGAAGGCAAAGGGGGGGGGGGGAAGGACAGGGTTAAGGGCGGCCTGGGGGCCCAAACCCGCTGAGGCTATAAGGATAGGAGCTACACGAAGGAACGTAAGGCCTTTGCCCTTCTTGGAGCTCAATTTCCTCCTGGCCCAACCTACAGTCAGTGCTTGAGACAGAAGCCAAAGGGCGCTCTCCCCCCAAACCCTGCCTTGAGGCAGGGATGTCCGAAGTCATACCTGCTTGAGGGGACAGGGGTGAGTCTCACCTCTGCCGCTCACCAACCTTTACGCTACCGTTTTACCTGGGACAACGCTTCACTTCTCTGAATCGGTTTGCTCGTCTGTAAAATGGGCCCGATGGCACACAGCTGTCTCATAGGGTTGCCGAGAAGCGAACGCTACGAGCTGTGCTGATGGCGAAGAACACAGCGGTGGGAGAGATGGGCCGACTCTCGGGGAGATCACAGCCAGGCGGGGAAGACAGACGCTAAACGGATAACCCCGTGATTCGTTACACGTAATGTCGCTCCATTTTACAGATGAATATGCTGAGGCTTGGCCACGCGGAATGGCTCAGCTGAGGCCACACAGAGAGGCAAAGGCAGACCCGGGATTCCACCGGGTCCCCTGAGGTTCCCGTTAAGCACCAGTATGGGAAGCACATGTGACCTGGTGCTAGACGTACACTTGAATCCCAGCTCTGCCACTTACCAGCAGGGTGACCCCTTAAGTGTCACTTCTCTGGGCCCCAGTTTCCCCCAGGGCTTGAACGGGAACGAGAGTACTCACGGGCAGGGGCTGTGGTCAGGGGTAAGGCGCTGACTACTGAGGCCGGCCCACCCACCCTCAGAGGCCGATGCTCTCGCCACCTCACCGCCTCCCTTGGGGGCAGGTGAGGACAGCGAGGGGTGGTCCCTGCAGGGCTGTCCTAGCAACCCTGAGAGGCTTGGCTAGGAGCAGAGTGGGAGGTTTGAGCTGGTCGAGGTCCCTTCCGGAACAGTCTCCCCTCCCAGTGAGTCTGAGACCAAATGTGGTTTCAGAATAGCCAGCAAGTGGGGCAAAGGGATCTGGGCGGAGGCCTTGGTCCCACCCTTAGCGTGCCAAAGGTCACTCCTCTCTTCCTCAAGCACCCCACACCCTGGCAGTCTTTGGATGCTGGGAGCGGGGCCCAAGGCAGGTCTGGGCGCCTCTTGGAGCTCCCTTTCCTCCAAAATCCCCCACCCCACCCCCTTAACCTGGACCGTGGGACAGAGCAGGACCAAGGTGGGCAGCAGGGGGAGGGAGGGGGCTGGACGAAGACACACACTGGGGCAGGGTGCAGCCAGGAGGCCCTGTATCCCTAAGCCTCAGCCTCCCCACCCGTGAAATGGACAGATAACCCCGCCTACGTCACAGGCCTATGGGGAAGATTAGCCACTGTAGGCAGAAGCCCCTAGTGACCCCGGGCACACAGTAGGCGCACAGTCATGCCAGCAATGCCCCAACCCCCATCCCCTGAAGCCAAAGAAGATTCCAAAAATTCACCGGCATGAGTCAGGGGTTCCTTTGACCGAATAGAGGTCTCCACTTATACATTCCGGGGAGTCTTTCCTGTGGGAATTTTATCTTTTCGTCTGGAAATTTTCATCGGACGCTGGACGCCTGCCGCCCCTACCAGGGAGAAGCCAATGGATCTGTTGGCTTCAAGGGCCTCCCGTGCCAAGAAATCCAACTTAGAAATCTTTGGGCATCCAGGCAGTGGGCTGAACGAAGTGCATTTCAAAGCGCGAGTGTCTGTGGAGTTCTGAATGCCGTCTTGTTTCTTTCCTCTGGTCCCCGATGCCAACAGCGCCCCTGCTTTCTTGGTTGCATAAAAGGCACCTCTTGGGAGAAGTCTGGGGGTTTCCGTGACTCTGGCTTCCCAAACTGGGCCAGCCCCAGGAGGCGGGGATCCCCCTCGTCTCTGCCAGCGAGGGCTCAGGGCCTGTCCCAGGAATTTAAATGAGCAGGTGCTGACCGCCTGTGCATGGCAAGGGCCGGGACGAACCCAGCCCAGAGAGCCTTGGAGAACAGCCGGCAGAAGGACCCAGAGGCAGGGGCCTTTTCTCCTAAGCCTAGCTTCCACTGCAGGCCCGTGGCTTTCCTCCCCCCAGCGGGCCTGCCGCCAGGCCGACACCTCTGGCCCCAGGCGTCAGGCAGTGGGTTCGCTCCAGAACTTCCCGACTCCTCACAAAGCCAGGAGATGATGGGGAGCCCAGGCTCAGAGAGGTGAGGTGGCTTGCCTCAGGACACACAGGCCTGTGGAGTCAGGCGGGTCCAACCCTAAAAACCTGTGTTCTGGGACCACCCTGGACCTTTCTTGGAAAGGGAGAGGAGGCAGGGGGAAAGGCGAGATGACCCCTCATATTCCTCAGCTGCTCAGAGGCCTGGGACTTTGGGTTCCACCTTTGGCCAGTCACTGGGGGAGGCCATCGAGAGGGTGTGACCACTGGTCGCCCCACGAGCTGGACCCTGGCCCTCGGACGCCCCTCGTCCCCACCCCTGCGCTGGGAATGTGCATTCTGCTTGCCTTCCCTGCTCCCAGAAGCTGCCCCAAGGACATGGCCTGGAGATAGTCATGTGGCGTTGAGACCAGCTGCATGATGTGTATGGGACTCAACCCAGTCAAGGCCTCCGTATAAACTTTTAAGGCTTGGCAGGTGCATGCAGAAATCTACTCATCTTGCAGCTGGTCAAGAAAAGCCTTGTAAGTAAGTTCCCCTGCTTCTTAAACCTGCCACCCACATATCTGGAGCCGTCTGCCCCTTTCTTCAGTCTCCCCCTGCTCTCTGCATCTGGGGCTGGTTTCGGATTACCCCGGGACCCTCCCGAGGAGGCCGTAAACTAAAAGCTGGCAAGCCGGCCAGGAGACTGAAGAAATGGGCCTTGGGAAAAGGCAATGGCAAAGAGGCATCGGCGGGGGCGACCCTACGTTGGGCCACGACCTCTATGGGGGGAGGGGGTGGCGTGAACGTTGGGTACTCGCGGACCTCGGCACGGGTACAGGGAGGTCCCGAAAACACCTGCTGCCTTAATGCGCTCGCTTGAGGGGCTATGCGCAGAGAAATGAAACGGATGGTTGTCACAGTGCACTGGCCTCCACTGCGGCCAGTTCGTCCGGACACTGAGGCCCAGCTAGAGGCTGAAAGTCAAGTTGGAAAGTGGCAAGAGCTGAGGTTTGAGAAGGACAAGCGGACGTCTCCTACCCTGCCGGCTTTGGGGCCGGCAGCCAAGGTGGGAGAGCAGGGCAGTCCGTCGGAGGTGTTAGCGTGCCCTTGTGCAAGGTGAGGAAGGCATGAGATGCTGTGGATTGAGATTCAGGAGCCTGTGACAAAGCCTGATGAGGGCGCTGAGAGGGGAATCCTTGAGCAAGCGACCAGAATCGAGGATGTTGCGGTGGAGGAGAAAGTGGAAATGCCCCCATGCCTTCCCACCCCGAATGCAAAGCAGAATCTTAAATAGCAGTTGTGGGGCGCCTGGGTGGGTCAGTCGGTTAAGCGTCTGACTCTTGACTTCGGCTCAGGTCACGAGCTCCAGGTTCATGAGTTCAAGCCCCATGTCTGGCTCTGTGCTGACAGCGCGGAGCCTGCTTGGGATTCTCTCTCTCCCTCTCTCCCGGCCCCTCCCCTGCTTGCTCTCTCTCTCTCAAAAATAGAGAAATAAGCATTTTTTAATTAATTAATTAATTAATGAATGAATAGCAATTGCCCCCAAACCTGGGGGATAATCGACATTCTTTCTCTGGAAAGTCACAGTTGCAAATTTTATCACGTCTTTGATACGTAAACACCCCAGGAGTTAACCAAAACACTATCCACAGAGACTGAAGGAAAAAATCTGGGGGAGGGCGAGGGGAAGCGTACAGATTGCTCTAGAAGTTCCCTTGTCCAAAGCCTGGCCCACAGCCTTCCTAAGATTACTCATCAAAGGCTAAGTTACAGGGTCTCTGCCTGTTTCTACGTTTACATATGTCTATGGATATGGGCTAAGTATACATGTTTTTCTACCTTCTGAAGGTATTACCAAAATTAATTTGTACAAGAGCTCTATTTAGTCAGCTTAAAAATAAGCTATATATCAAAGTGCACTTAGGTAAAATTGAAATTTCATTTGCTCTCACCGCCATAAAGGATAACAGTTTCTTGAACTATCAGTCCGTTCTTGACGGGATGGTCAAACAAAGATACTGTGTTTTATCGAAATAATTTCAGGGCATCTGGGTAGCTGAGTTGGTGAAGTGTCCGACTTCGGCTCAAGTCATGATCTCACAGTTCATGAGTTCGAGCCCTGCGTCGGGGTCTATGCGGACAGCTCAGAGCCTGGCGCCTGCTTTGGATTCTGTGTCTCCCTCTTTCTCTGCCCCTCCCTTGCTCTGCTTCTCTCTCAAAAATAAACATTTAAAAAATAATAAAATAATAATTTCCTATACTTCATATAGTCTTGATCAGGTCTTTGATTACTTAAGAAAAAAGCAGAGTCTTCTCTATTAAAAGAGCTATGTTTTTGGTTTTTAGTTTTGTTTCTGTTTTTGTTTTTTTTTTTTTTTCTACAAGCATGCAATTTCTATACTTGCCTTTGAGGCCTTTAATTGTCATTTTGGTTAAATGGATAACTGAATATTGTCTCACGACGACCCGCGATCCTATGCGACCGTGTATTTTAAAACCTTTTGACTGAAGTCTATATTTTATTCACATTTCCTTCCTTTTTATGAAATGCCTTTTCTGTTCCAGGACCCCATCTAGGAGACCACATTATATTTAATCTTCCTGTCTCCTTAGAATTCTCTTGGCTCTGACTTTTTTTATATATTAAATGAATGGATGTACTGTACCTATATTCATTAACTGCAACAAATGTACCATACTAATTAATATAAGATGTTAATAATACGGGAAACTGGGTGTGGGGGTATATGGGAACTGTCCTTTCTTTGTAATTCTTTCTGCAAATCTAAAACTGTTCTATATAAATCTACGAACTAA